TTTAGCCACGCTAAAAGTCAATGCTTACCAAGTATAAGAACCTGAACAGATAAGAAGTTGGTCAAGGAAAAGGAGGGAATTATCTTTCCTGTTTGTCAATATTACTTTTAGAAACTGTCATTCTGACCTTTTGGCTTTGGATTTGAAACACACCTCTGTTGCACAGAGTTCCCACTAACACCTGTAGCAGTACCCTTTATTTCAGACATCCACATGAATGTCATTTAACCAGAGAAGGACCTCTGTTCTGTATATATGTGTAGCCAGGAGCAACACCTAAGACTATTGCCATCCCTCACTCTAGTGACACCCACGGAGACCAAGGCTGAGAACATCTGTTCTCCACATCTCATGCAGCCTCCTGTGTGGGAAGTACATACCCACTGTGCCCAGTGAAGTCCAGGGCCAAAATGTTGCCTACACTGGAAGTTCTTTAGATCTGGCTTCCATGTTGTGGAGAAGTGCAGAAACCCTAAAGGGCCCTTTCCAATACACCCACACTCTTAAACGATATAACCACACCACTTAACTGTTGTGAGAACATCTGCAGCTGCGGAAGTGGGTGCTGGTTTTGCCCTTTAATGCCTTAATTATTAGCATCTGGAGATACACTTCTTACCATAGTGTGGGAAGAAGTTCCCGACCCTATAGTTCACGTTTTTTTTAATTAACTTTTTTTCCTGCCAAATAATCACATTAAGGATTTCACAGAAAAGTGCTGAAAAATGCATTTGAGTTAGAATCTGTGAAATACCTACAAGTTACTACTCAGCAGAATTTCAGAGCTGGAAGAGTGAATTATAATGCCATATCTTCATATTCTATTTGAGAATCTTTTCATTATTATGACCATTTGGATGGCCATATTTAGAATACATTCAATCTGTTCTCTCATTAGACCGTTTCCATGAAAATTGCATCTCTGTGCCAAACTCCTTTAAGATGAATCATGCTTTGTCAAGAGCACATAACTGACAAAGTCTAAGGGGTTTTGGTCCAGATTTCAGAAGATGAGCGTAATTGCAACAGATGGTTTTAAGCCTATAAAGCCATTCTTATTATACTGAACATCAGGCTGTTATTTTAAGCTATATAATGTCAAGTATCATGTATTGGCAGAACAGAAGGGGCAGAAATATTAGAATAACTTAATATTGTTAAAGTAATACAACAATAAACAATATGTTACTATTTTCCACTAGATTAGCCTAACATCTTCATTTGTTTTCTTTTTTTTTTTTTGTTTGGCTATCTATATAATAACTTACTGTTCTTTCTAACCTTGCTAAAGTGTGTGAGATCTGTTTAAACTGATTAGGATTTTGAATGCTTGCCTACATTTTATTTGGTTACTTAGAAGCAGACAGAAGCTATGTTTTCCTTTTCATGCCTACCTAGATTCTGAGAACCATTTCAAGCAGCTGCAGAGATAAGAACTGCTAGGCATTTATGTGGATAGAAAAATCATGCTAAGCATTTAATTACTATTTAGAACAAAGACTGTATAGAGCTGAGTAAAATTCTTTGCTCACTGGCTTTTTTTTTCCAAGAATCTCTCATTCATGAGCATTTCTGGTCAATTAACTCTGTATCAGAAACTTGTATAATGAGAAATAATACTGGAACTTTGGTATAACTAATGTAGAAAGATTAACCTTCTAATACTTATTGGTTTAGAATGCATTAAAATAGAAGTTGTCATTATTTTGTATCATATGATTCCCCTACCTCAGCCTTACACATTAAAAGTTAAAGTTGCAAGAATCTCAATATATGATTTTTGTAACTGTTCACAAAGTATTTTACTTTCTAAAAAAATCTGCTAGAAAGTTTTGAAAAAGTAGAAAATAAGAAAGGAATTTACTACTACATAACTGTTGCTTTTGATTTTTCCTTTTTGAAATGTAGATAAGCATTTAATTGCAGAATGTATCCCTGTTGTTATGCCTACATGAAAATGACTTCTTTATTTCCCTTGATGAGCACATTGTCTCAGTATATGTTAACCATGATGCAGAAATACCTGACCTGACTTTGCTTGAGCCTGGTCTAGAAGCCAGGTAGCTCTGTTCCTCGCTTACACTTTCCATTAGCATTATCTATTTCATGGAAGTATGTAATGCTTGAATTTGATCCATTCTTCCATGGTTTTCTTTAGTGTTTGCATTTGAAGTAGGTGCTATAGAAATTAAGTGGTTCACAGCACCTCTTCACATCTGAATTGAAGGACCATGAATTGAGAACACCAAGGAAAATACAGCTAAGCCGCACATCTCAGAGAGGGCCATACAGCTGGCAAGAGGGAGGACAGGCGATGTGGCAGGAAAGATTATTTTTGCAGTCTGGAAAGGACTAGCTTGTCAACATGAAGTCCTCTAACCATTCCTAAAGGGGAAATCAGAAAACTGTGACCAAATAAACAAAGATATTGATCTGCTGCAGATTTAGTGTTCTTCAAGGAGATCTGATTTGTCAATATTTTTGAAAAGCAGACCGTGGAAATAATTGCCACAATGTTTGTGTCTATTCCACAGTCACAGTAATGCATTTGTATTGATTTACCCATTATTTATGTCACTCAGATAATCTTTATTTTACAAAGAAAATGCCCAGACAAAGCTGATATTTTTGAAAGCAGAATAATAGTGTAGAGTAATACATGATAAGTATTGAAAGCTTTCACACCTTTCCAACTTGCAGTTCAAACTTTTTAAAGTGATATCTGGAGCCCTCAAATTTTCTTACTCTGAAATAGTTGTTGTAACCCATGTCTGCTTTGAGCAAATGGGACCAAATGTTTCTGGCAAAGCTTTCAATAGTAAGGTATATTTATGAGCTCAATATAGTATTTATC